AAGACACATCAGACATTCATGTACCTTGTTTCCTTCTTTTGATACAGCCCCTTACCAGTTCTTCATTTCCCTCCCCTGCCCCAGGGTCTTTAAGAAAACTATTTCTCCAAGGTTTTTAGGATTTTATCAGGACAGCTTGGAATGTTTTTACATGTCAGCATTTTATTTGAAGTAAGGTGTACACAAAAGCTCCCAACACGAGGCTGCAAGCTTGGAGGAAAGATAGTGTTGTTCATATGGTTGAGTTTGTGGTCTGGTCATTCCATTTCTTGTAGCCTGTGTGTCCTGGCTGAAGGGGTTAGAGCAAGGACTTGGATCTGTCACAGATAGCTGTCCTGTGTTGTGCTTTGCAGACAATAGAAACAATGCACCCTCTGAGGTAGCAGAAGTAGTTGCTTCAGTTTACTGTCTGCCAGGCAGCTGTCAGTGCTGATTGGCAAAACCAGGTTTGTACAGGTACCCAAATATCTTACTGCTTCCCACAGTAGGTTACTCTTGTGTGGGCCTGAGGAAAATCTGCAAATCTGCCTGTTCCAAGCTAGATACCTAAGTATTTTCTCTGAAAATGTAACAAACTCATTGTCCTTAGTGAGAAATGTGTGGAAATGTATTAACACTTAAATTACTGTTAAATTTCATTAAGGTGATTGAGAACTTCTTTGACCTCATGCGTCAAATTTTGATAGTAACTGAACAAACAATTGCTTAAAATCTAACTTGGCATTCTTGACACACTTCTTACGAAAAGGAGTTAAGTTAAAGATAATTCCTTTAGTAAGTCCCCCTAGTTTTGCAAGGAGACAATGAAAAACTATTTTGGCTTTGATTTCAAGAATTTGTAGGAGCTTTGGCTGTAGTCTGAGTACTGCTGTGTGTAGAACTCTAAGGGCATAAATGTTACCCTGCAAGAAAATTTACCTTGGGAACATTGCATGATTTTAGATATAAAATACTGATTTCTGCTGCTGTAGATGGAGTCTTTCAAATGGGAACTTGAACTGTCTTCTCAAACCCCTGGGTGGCTCCAGTGCTGCTGCTAACAGCTTTTCCAGTTGCAGAGGAGGTAAACTGAGCAATGCTGTTTGCAGACATGACAGCATTGCTCCGACTGGTAGCCAGCAGGGTGGGTTGGGTTATCTTCCTTCATGGTGCTTGAAGAAAAAATCTTGATGCATCAAGTAAAGAATAAATCCTTTGGGGAAATACAGTCTTGCCTGTGTGCGCTGGTGCCCAGATACATGTGTGGAGCTAAGAGTTGTATGAGAAAAAGCATGTTTTTAAAAAAGAAAGATGAAACCCCAGTCTTTAAGAAGCAGGAAAGAAATGTGAGAGGGACAAGAAAAAAATGTTTGCTGTTGTGTGAAGCACCCTTGTAGCCCACAAAGGGAGCTTTCTGGAAAGATGCCTACTTTTGATACACTGGTCTCGGGGCAGTTTCAAAGATGAAAGTTTGAACAAGATTTGATACTTCCAAGATTGTGAGCAAATCCTAAACTGCATTACTTCCATATTGATGAGTTACAACTTTATGTATGACTTCATTATTTAAGGGATAATTAAAAAAACCCAACCCACAAACACATCCACTTGCTGTATACGGAGCCTGGAATGCTACTAATTGTCTCTGTAAGGGTGTTTAAGATGAGCTTAAGGAAACGCTTCATTTTAATGAAGTGTAAGCACAGTGCTGAAGTTGTGGTACCATCATTCTCTTTGTATTCTTTTTATTCTTAATATATGTAGAGAAGCATAGGTAATACAGATCTAGTATCTGGAGTCTGCAGAGTTCAAGTGCTGTCAGTTGTCCACTTGCTTTTCAAAGGTCGTTAGTGGTGTGTTATGTTACTCTAACCCTAGACTGCAGCATCTTGGTGTTCTCATATGTCCCTAGCTTCTAGGGTGTTAGGCTGTATGTATTTCTCAGTTCCTGCTAGGGTCGTTAGTGGTGTGTTAGTGTTAGTTAAGGGTCGTTAGTGTGTGGTGTTTCCTCTAACCCTAGACTGCAGCATCTTGGTGTTCTCATATGTCCCTAGCTTCTAGGGTGTTA